GCCCGAGTGTCTTTGTGTAGGTCCAGCTATCTTAGACCTTGATTTGTAGACCAAGCTCTCGAACTCACAGAGATCCGCCTGCTTCTGCCTCCGGAGCGCTGGGAGTAAAGGTGCGCGCCACCACCGCTCTGCGGTGGCCTCAAACTCCACCAGAAGCTGCTACCTCTGGCCCTGAATTACGATTCTCCTCCACTTTCCAAGGTTACAGACAAGCGCTACTAAGCTAGGTTTGCACCTTTTTTCTTCTTTTTAAACAACACCTAATCTACTCACTGGTCTATAACCGTAACCAATGACAGGGACTGGAGAGATGACTCAACAGTTAAGAGCACTTGCTTCTCATGCCTAACTCCTGAGTGTAGTTGGGTTCCCAGCATCCACACACAGCTCACAACAGCAATTCCAGTTCCAGGGGATCTGATGACCTCTTCTGACCTCCGCCGTCATCAAGCCGACACATGGTAAACATACACACATTCAGGCAAAACACTCATACGTATGAAAAATAAATTTAAATTTTTAAAAAATAAATCAGTAATCCAAAGACAGTTTGGTGGCTCAGGGTCTTTGCTCGTGGCTCCGCCCTAAGGAGCCTTTCTGCTGTACTTCTCAGCGTCTGCAGTACCTCACGCACGCAAACCAAAAGGCTCCGCCTCGCGGCTAGAGCTACCGGTTCCTCCTAGTTTAGCTGGACCACAGCGATTGACAAGTCAGTTCTCCAATCATCATGCCGAGTGACCCTATAACCAGGTCACCGGGGCGGTGCAGAAGCATAGAATGAATAGGGCTGACCAGGAAGTCTGAACTCAGACTGGAAAGGCAGCAAGTCCGGCGGTCTTCGGTCTTCGGTAGGTGACCGGGCATCTGACTTCCCTAATTCCCTTCTTTCCTCTTAACTGGAGCTAAGGGTCTGTTTGTGTCTGGGAACTAGGAACTCCGTTTGCCTTTTCTTTGGTGTGTGTGTCCTTATCTAAGGTTGAGGATCTGAGCTTCCTTCCCCCTTGTTGCTCCAGGGCGGGATCCTTTTCTATGCTCCCTGCCAAGGGTTCTCCGAGTGTCCTGGGGCGGCTGGAGTTTAAGAGGATGGTTAAAGACCTCCAGTACCTAAGAGGGAAATGAGCGCCGGAGACAGGCGTCTCCAGGTGTGGCTTGAGGTAGTGAAAGCCGGAGAAGACACTGGGAATAAAATTTCTAAGGTTTTGACCCTGGGCTAGAGTAGGCTACTGGGGCGCTGGAAAGAGGAATGATTTTCTGTCTGTCTGTCTGTCTGTCTGTCTATCTATCTATCTATCTATCTATCTAATTTGATTTTTTGAGACTGAGTTTCTCTGGGTAGCCCTGATTGTCCTGGAACTTGCTCTTTTTTCCCTTTTTTCTTTCAAGACAGGGTTTCTCAGTAGCTATAGAGCCAGTCCTGGAACTCGCTCTGTAGACCAGGCTGGCCTCGAACTCATAGACATCCACCTGCCTCTGCTAAGTGCTCGAACTAAAGGCGTGTGCACCTCCGCCATAGTGGTTCTATTAGTCAGAGCCTCTGTAAGGTGGAGGCTGGAGGGTGGGGCTCAGACTCTAGAAAATCCTTTTCCCCTTCAGGACTTTCAGTTTTTGCCTCTTTTCCTTCCCAGGCTGGAACTAACATCTGGACATGTGGAACCCTAATGCTGGTAAGTATCTGGGGGTGTCTTACCCAGCCCATTTTGCAATAGAACAGGCAGGCTCTGTATCTACAACTTTCACCTTCCCTAAGCAAAATCGAAGTCTTGGACCACTGCTGCCAAGTTTTCCTTCTCCTAAGTGTTAAGAAAAGCAGTAAAATTTGATTTTTGTTGACAGAGGTTCTGGGTAGTTCTAATCTCTATTTTCTGGTTCTTTTTCCAGGGTCTAATTCATATCCACCCCAAGTGGTGTGCCCAGGAGGTCCCAATCCTGCCTGTCCACCACATGTCAACCCTGCCTTTCCTCCTGGCCCCTGTCCTCCTGGAATTTCCCAGGGAAACCCAGCTTTCCCTCCGTGCCAACCTTCTTGCCCTACTGTGCCACAACCAGGATATCCAGGACACCCACCCCCGGGCCCCTGCCCTCCCTCGTACCCCCTACCTGGTCCTGGCATGTGCCCTGTGAACCCTCTGGCTCCTGGCATGGTCGGCCCAGGAACAGTGATAGATAAGAAGATGCGGAAGAAAATGAAGAAAGCTCATAAAAAGATGCATAAGAAACACAAGCACGGAAAGGTCGGTGTCCTCTGGGGA